GAACGGACAGACAGACATGCAGGCGGACTGAGGATGGCGATACATAGAGAGAGAGAGAGAGAGAGAGAGAGAGAGAGAGAGAGAGAGAGAGAGAGAGAGAGATTGGGAGAGCGATTGGGAGAGAGATTGGGAGAGTAGAAGAGAGATTTGAGGGCTGATAGAAATCTGTTAGCATCTCAAAACGCTGCTTTTCTTTCACTTCAACTCACCCCCTAGCTATTTCCTCTGTGTCTACTCCTGATATTGGAGCACCTGTCACTGTAAGACACTCATCATGGCAACATTGTCACACAGTTGAAACTTGCTCCCTGAGATGAAAAAATCTACGTTCGTTTAACTGTCTAAAATCATTTTGGAAGATATTTCACTTATAAGGCGTACAAAGAATCTAGCTTTGTTACGTTAGCAGAGTAATTCACAGACACTATTTTTATGTTCATTATACTGACATGGTAATATTATTATGCCGTTTATAAAAAGTAGGTTTGAAATCTGTTTGTAAGATAATATTTCGCAGGCCGTGCTTAGAGCAAACATTTCTCTAAGTTAGCTTAGTTATTCGTAAACCTATTCTTTTCAACTTGTATTGACTACACAATGTGCCTTACAGTAAAACTAGGCCTGAAATCAGTTTGAGAGGTATAATTTTGATAAAAATACATAAGCAGAATGAACCTGTCAAGTAAGCCTTATTATTCACAGACATAATAATAATATATCTTTTCATATTTTCATTAAGTAATGTCATAAAATCAATCTGACTGATACTTTTATATAAAAAAAACCAAACAAACAAACCGCACATTTTGAATAGCAGACCCAAAACTTTACCCGGAACATTTTCAGAAACTGTGATGGCTAAACGAACACCAGAACTCACACAGACTCAAACCATTCAGGCACTGGTCTGAAAATGCAAGCGAAAAACTTTCGCGATTAGAACCATCTCTTCTGCTGGCTAATGGCCATCTGTGGTTGATAATTACATTTTTGGAAACGCCTTAACATCCACTCAGTGAGTAAAGTACCCCTCAGTTCGTACGAAAACTGAAACACTTCAGGTATAGAACTGAAAATGCTGGCGAAACACTTTCGCGATTGGAACTAGATCTATCTTTACCACAGGATAATGATCTCAAAAAGATGACTGATACATTCTTAGAAACGACGTAACAGGCTGAGAGTGAGTGAACAAGACCTGATTTCGCACAAAGACTGAAACACTTCCGTCATAGCTCCAACAACGTGAAGGTCAATCACCCAAACATCGCTAGTTCTCGTTCGTCGCTCGCGCGCGCTTTGTTGTTGTTTTTGCTGCTGCTCCTCTGATTCTTACCTGTCCGAGCTCTCTCTCTCTCTCTCTCTCTCTCTCT